TACTACAAGTCAGCAAACTTTTCATTGCAATAATAACAAGCCTAAGCAGATCATCTTTATCATTTGGTCTGTTATTGTCTTAAACTGCTTCTTTCACACCTGTGGAAAATACAATGACATTGATGAGCAGGAAGGGCAGGAGTTTATCAATGCAGTCTTTAATTGGCTGTCCCAAGGCTAAGATTGAATATTATCGCAAACTCTCATTTGTTAGGCTCAGAATTATGTACTGTATATGCAATTCTAGGAAACATTAAGCACATTTTAAGTAGATTTATGTTAACTTCATTTAACCCCACAAAATGTCGATTTTCCGTGTTTATAAATTCCAGCTAATCTTTCCATTGCTTCCAATTGCTAGTATTCATAAAACAAAATCAATACATTTATTTTCTTCATAACAGAGAACTGACGCACATGGTGTGAGATAAATAAAAAGAACAATTATGTAATTTCCTACTGAAGTATTAGTCTGTGTTTGGACATTGAGTGAAGCGTTAAAATTGTCCATAGAGATAGCTTAGAAAAGAACTCCCTTATAAGAAATAATAAAAAACTGTGTACTGTAGGTGCATTGAATGTATATTTATCTCGAACCATTCCAGGTACTTGCTGCTGAAAACACTGCAACGCAAACAACTACTTCAATTGAGGTGAATTCTACCCCAGTGGCTACACTCTAGTGTTCCTTTTGGTCATTTTTCTGATTCATTTCTCTTGTGAAACACTGAAGCCAGTACAGGTTGGTGTTAAGGATCTTCCACGCACGCAGAACAAAATAAAATTAAAGAAGAATTATCAAGGAATTTTTAAAATAGGCTGTTAACTACACAGCCACCTGCTCAGGCTGTGTTGTGATATCACTCCTTAATGGACCACGCAGAGAGGCTAAGAAGACCAGAGAACAGAAGGAAAAATTAAAAGGAATTGTGTTTGCAAGAGCACGTCGTGAAAAGGAGTGGAAACTCGAAAAGGAACAGTGCACATTCCCAAAGGAGTACAAAGAAAATTCTCCCAACAATGAAAAATCAAGGAAAAATTAAGGAAAATCAAGAAGCTTTGCTCTGATTGTCGGGGAAAGAATAAGGCTAGTCAGAATCTCCTTCCGGTTGGAATACAGGGGCTGATGAAATCAGATGAATTATTTGGTTACTTCTCATTACATCACTGAATAGCGTAATTTGAACTCTTTATCCGGCTACCCTAGTACAACCTGCCCCTTATATCCCCCCACCCTAAAATGAAGAACTCTGTAACGGTGACAGCCTCTATGGTCGCTGTGGAGTTTATCCTGTACACAATGTCGCTCTGTGCCCCTCAATGGCTCATATATGGTGAGGGGGTCAGCCAGGGTCTTTTTGTTCTCTGTAACAGTTACAAGGGTTTCTTCAGTTGCGTTGGCTTCCCTGTCTGGATTGGTGAGCATTCTTTGCATTTTTTTCTTAGGTTCACATGCGTGTATGACAGTATCATTACAAAGGTGCATTGTATGGTGAACGGTGACGCTATAGCCGACTGTGTTCCCCAAGGGCCAAAATGCGAAATCGGGCTACTTGGCCACAGTGAAAATATCTTGTCATGAATTTTCACTATTTGCAGTTCCAGAAGGTGTTCCTCGGTAAGAAGCCATCAGAACAAACAAAACGCAGAGAAGAACTTTTCAGTGCGGTACAGATATTCATGTAGTGTCCTTGTTATTTTTATCCAGGCCCATTTAGCCTGACCTGGATGTTCCTCGGTGCCTCTTCTCTGTTCTCCTTCCTAACCCTCTTCGTGATCAGACCAGCTCTGTCCCAGGGCAAGCGAGCCATCACAGCCTTGATCCTAAACATCTTGTCAGGTACAGCTGCTCATTTTCCAAATGACTTTTACAGACGTCTGAGGAACTAGCATGGTTGTGAAAGGCTTTTATTACCTGTCAATTTTAACTAATTAAAAAATGATCATATAGGCTTTGTACTTCTAACCAAAGGATCATTCATATACATCCCACAGACTGTCAAAAAGTTATTAGCTTAACAAGTAGGTGGGGAAAACATCTGGGAAAATATCTGCTGTATACATCACCCAGTTTCCAGGATACAACATTGAATCACACCCATCAAACCCCATTTCATCAAATTTCTCACTGTCAAGTTTCTATCCAGATTCTGTATCTCAAATTTTTTGCTAACATTCATCCTTTATCTCTAAACCTATTTTCAATATACCGCTATGCTTCAATAATGCAGAAGCCCACAGAGGACTGTGAAACACTTCAGAACAAAATACTCTGGAGACTGGCCATGTGAACAAGATTTATTAACCGACATGTTACAAAAATGTCTTCCTGAAATGTTCTTTTCTCTTACAGCAGTATTTTGTGTGTGCGCGTTGACAAACTTCCTGGTCAGTATTCAAGTGAAGAACCCCAAGCTGCTGAATTGTCTGGGCTGGTCCTTCTACATCTGCTGTTTCACCCTGTTCTATGCATTCATGGTGTCGGTGGTCCTAGGAACGGTGAGAGCATCCACTAATGTATCGCCTTTCGTGGTCAGCAGCTCTTCTGGGCCAGTCCCTGCCACTCAGTCCAACGTCCTCCGAAACATTACCTGCCTTTCCTAAGTTAACTTTATCTGTTTCAAAGCACAATACGGAATCATTTTTAAATACTGTACCACTTAACGTAGGCTAAGTGTACATGAAATAACCACAGCAAATGAAATAAACATGAAAATGGACAATACTTTTTTCAATAAGAAGAAAATAAATATATTTTAATACTAATACTAATAATACTTTGAGAGGTTAAAATAACATACTTTTTTGAGAGGTTGTGATAGTGTTGTTACACTACTATAGTAGTGTTTCATGTTTTTCTCATCTTCTCCGGTCTGTGACATAAAGGTTTAACTGAACAGAAAAGGAATGATGCTGGGAGATATGAACATATGATGTCATTTTTTTAAAGGTCTTTATAACTTAAGTCATAAGACTTTTGGGATGCTATGCTTGGAATATCTGGAAGCCAGCAGCAGTGTTCTGGGTTTTCACAATAATTTACTTCAGTTATTTATAAACAAAAGGCCATGGAAATTTGATTTGTTTGAAAGGTTAAAATATATATGTATATTTCTTTCAGTACATAAATAGTGAGATATCTCTGTATTAAAAAGAAACTGAAAGAAAAATAATTCACTGAAAATGAATCTATATTTAATAATATTTTTCATACTACAATGGTTTATAATGTTATTAATTATGTTTGCTTTGTTGTCATCTTTTGGGGAATTTGGGGGGTACTAAATGCCCTTTTAATAAATTATATTGTACTACACTGTGGAGGTTTGGGATTAATGACACTGACATCACTCAGAGAAAAGAAAACATTTCCGTACTCGCTGAGTAAACATAATTGACAATACTGTGTTCTAGAGAACACGACACACAGTACACCACAATTGTGCCAGTTTTCACAGCAGTAAAGAAACAAAGAGGGAGAACAAGAGAGGATTAAACAATACTTAAATATGGTGATAAAAAAATAGGACGAAAAAAACATGTTTTGATCAATTGGGAAGCATTAATTTAAAAATCACTGCCCTTAAAAAAATTAAATTACTGCTGCCACTACTTTGATTTATGTTTTTGCAAAAGATACAGTAAGGTTATTAATAGCCTTTAAAGAAGACTTCACAAGGCCTATTTTTGTGGCTTATATTTTTTTTTTTTACTAGATCTAGGGAGTTTCCATCAAGTCTTCCTCTGGTTGTCCACAATTTCAAATTCTGCATCATGGTAAAACTGAACCATTCAGAATTTAACCTCACTCCTGCTTTTTCAGAGAGGGTTATTTTTTTTCCTTTTCCCCTGTTATTGAAAGTTACAGAGAATTTACAAGCACACAATGTTTAAATAGCATTTTTTGCCACAACTCCCAAGCTGTGGTTGGATTCCTGGCCTATTAATACAGTGTTACATAAGAAGACTCACATTATGATGTATGCCTAACTGAAGATGTTGCATGTGCACAAATTAAGTGCCAACAGCAAACTGAAGAAATCAGCAAAAAAGCTCAAGGATAGGTTCTCAGTAGAAGGGGTAATTGCAAAATGGGAAAGATAAACAATAAACTTAATATACTTAATAATACCTAATATTTTTAACATAAAACAATATTAAACATTGCAATGAGTCACAAATTTCACCTCTTTACTGTCTTGCATCTTTGATATGTAGAACTGTATGTATTTTTCAAGTAACCAAACAAAAACATCTAACAATAATTTAACAATAGACAAGCAATGTCAGTAGAAGTTACAATGCAAATTAACATTTTCTTAATATTATTAGATCAATGAATGAAAAATTGAATATATTTATAGGACAAACTGTTGATATGTATTTATCTGTTTTACAAAGACAAACCCAATGTAGATAACTGATGCCACCTGGTGGTAAGCATAGCATTATTATGTCACTATTAGAGATGAGTGTACTGTAATCATGAACAGTATCATACAAAACAGTTTTACATTTTATTGGTTTAGGTTTAAGTTTATTGGTTTAGACATGCGGTTTTGTACTACAAATGACATACTACTTCATAAAACATTTATGACAGTTCCTAGCTTTTTATGTAGGCTCTATGGAGAATGTCATGTAGGCATTTTATACAATTATGCATTGTTTGTGAATTAGCTATTTAAAAATATCAAATTCAAGTATAATTAACACTACCTTTCTGAGAACAGTAAGGTCTCCCACTCACCTGAAATCATGCTAATTTGTTTAAATACAGCTGGTATGAAAGCTGTAGGTTTCATTACTTCAGTAGTTAAATCTGGGTGGCAACATAGTTCCAAGACTAAAAATAAGAAAATCTAAATATAATATAATCACGTATACGTATACCTAACGGCAGAAAGAGAAGAAAATGGTGCAGTCTATTTGAAAAGACGGCTTGGGTTATTTAAGAGAATAAATATGGCATATCCTTTTTTTTTAAATAAAACAAGACGTGTTTAACAATATTTTAATTGCAAAATAGCCTTTTAACAATATAGAAGTCAGTGGCACAAATGCTGATGAAGAGAAACAAAGCTTTCGAAAGCTTCAATGGTCCCCCACAGCCCATGACACTGATGGAAAGTTCACTTCACACGGCGAGTTTATTCTGCAAACTGCAAACACAAAGGCTGACCTTCTTTTCCTTCATAGCACCAGGGCATGCATAAGACACCTGTTGAGGAGCAAAAAGCAAAACAGATTCAGTATTTATGATATGAAATACAAGTCCTTGTTTCCTTTTGTAGACATCTAAAAACAAATTGTGAAGAGGTGAAACTGACTGAAAAAAATATTCCTTTACGTCCAAAAACGTTCCCCCACAGTTGCTGCAAACATTCCTCCATCTGCAACTTTACCCTTTTGTGTTTGAAGAAGTGGAGAATTCTTGTACCAACAGCTTTTTTTGAAAATGGAAATTCAAACTCCATTTGTCCAAACAGTTAAGACACCTAAAGAGACTCTCAGACTAACATCCCGAAAATTTTAAATGACAACTTCATTTGTGTTATTTTCTTTTGCTGATAAAACGTATGGGCCTAGCATGGTGATAGGACTAGATTAAAAATATGTATAGCGGCTAATTAACCCCCCTGTATATCATGATTTCACTGCAATTTCCCTCACGGGATCAATAAAGTATCGATCTATCTATGATCCTGCATTATCTTAAAAGATTGAAAGATACCTCCACAGTGTAAAGGTCTTTAAAGACGTCTTCTCCACTTGATATGGCCTAGCAAAAGAGGTCATTTGTTTTCTAACACTGTAAGAAAATTGCAGTTTGTGTATTTGATGGCCATGGACTACCTGATACTGGTATTAAAGGTCTGTCCTTATCTAGCAAACTTAACTTGTGCCAGTTATAGTATAGTCAAAACTGTACTCCCATAGTGCTGTGGAATGATCAAAGTTTAATGACCTAGATCAATAATGAACAGGTAGCTGTTATCAACACATGGTAACTATGCAATGTTACAAGTAAAGCTAATCAAAACCAGAATTCTCAATAAGATGTTCAAAATAACCCCTTTTCACCTGCTTATATTGGAAGAGTGATTCATTTTGGACCAATATACGTTACAGTTTTCCCCGTCTTCTTCAGAGTTTCAATAAGAACTTCTACACTCTGCTCAGACTCAATAAAAACCTTCTTATTGGGAAGGTCAATGTCAAATTTCACACCTATGAAAAAGAATAAAAGGAACTGAATGAGATCCTTGGGACAGGCAATGAATTAATATTGCAACGAAAAATTACTAGAAAAATCTGGTATGCAAATATATCGTAAATAAATTATATAGGTACTGTATATTCTACTGATGGAGGGGAAAGGGCAATGTAATGTTTTTGAATTTTTAAAAGTGCATAACAAACTGGACAAAATTGTCGTAACATTGCATTGCGTTATTAAATAACTATCAACGGTTACAAAAGACAACCTGCAAGAATGTAATAAAAAGGTCATAACGACACAAAAACTAGAAGATATAACACACTCAGCATGCACTGAGAGGAAAGAGCAATGAATAGAAGTAGAAGCGGTGTGAGGGCCTTTTAAAACATTATGGCAAAAACTAAACATTACATTATGGTGAATTAGCTTATAAAGATGGACACGCTAAATGTACTTTATTTTTCTTACTAAAAGCCCTTTTAATATCAATGTATATAGTGTATGTATAACCAGAGGAAAAAATACACAAAATATGACTACACATACACTTCTATCGTATGTGTAATCATGTGGAAAATTCAGTCATGTGATAGCTCCAAGTCTCTTCTCAAGAAACCCGTTAGTTAGCAGGAAATCGGATACTTTTTTACTATGTAAAACAATTACAGGTCAGGCAATAGATTTAATTTTCCGAGGAAATCAGATACTTTTATCACGCTATCTGGCTTTCGGTTTGGTGCCACTGTCACACTGCAACTGCGGTCTTTCGGCATCAGGCACTCCCTGTTGTTAATAACACCACGCACCCAGGGAATAAAAGTGAAAACTCAGGGGTAGGACTTGCCTTGCAGTTTATTGAGAACGCGAGTCACAGCGCCTGAACACCCTTCGCAGGTCATATCCACGAAAAACTCGTGCTTCTGTCGGGAAGGAATCCAATCCATTATTTCATTACACCGGGTCATTTCATATTCCAACACTGCAATGATCCAGTCAAAGGCCTGGATTCACAAATAAGCAATAACTAACGCCATGCAATATAGACACCGTCAACATAAAATCTCTCGTCGTGTAGCTACTTGCCTGCATATTTCCTTTCCAAATATCAGTTACACCGTTCGACCCTCTTCAACTTTCCCGTCTGCGACTTTGTACTTTCATCACAAGAAAAATGCTTTAAGTTAATAGTCTTCCCAGCGATCAGCCCCCTTTCCAGAAACAGGAGTCAGCAATGCCCGTTTTAGGGACGGTCATCAAAGGTTCATCTACATTTCGTGAACCAGAACTAGAATTAGAATACAGATAAATCTGCCTGATCTGGAGTAAATGAATCATGATGCATAAAAAATAGACATTATCTACAACATAAATATTTTCTGTTTGTTGCTTTTCACGATTCAGACATGAATAATGTTAGGGGAAAAAGATGAGTGAAATGATGACATTCCCTTCTACTATTATCGAGGCGCCAGGAAGACTTGTGGTACCTCAAGCATGGCTGTGGGTGGCGCTGAGTTCTCCCCTAAATCATTAATTTGCAGAAAAGTAGTTAACCCATTAGAAGCGACATTTTGAAATAATAAATAAGCATATGTGTCGATTTAATAATAGTAGTTTAATGTTCATCCACAGTAAATTCAGATGCATTTATTTAACTATTTAAACGACAGCCAAAAAACATAATACAAATAATAATAATAATAAAATATTTTTTATTATACAATATTATTTATAAACGCTTTAAAAAACGCAAAGTCTGTTAAACAACACACGCAAATAGAAGATTTTAAAATGAAATGTACACATCTAATCTGTATGTTAAAAAATAGAAAATTATTTTCACTGGAAAATGAAAGTTGGGGGATGCATTACATCCGCTACACTAATGACGAAGACTAGAAAAAAAAACCTGTCTAAAACCCGTCCACGCATTTTAGCAACTGTTTTTAAGGTTGATATGCCCATAAAAGTGATTTTTTTCTTAACATGTGGACCTCCATTCTTTCACTCGGTGAGGTAAACTTCCTGGTATCCATGGAGAGGGAGTCGGGTCAGCTGACCTTCACGAGGCGGGGAAGTCACGTGATCCGGCGGCTCGGAGACTCGGGAAGCTGAACGCGAGATTTTGGTGCCGCTGAGCCGCGGTAACGCGACGAGAAAACACGACCCCGGTAAAGATGGTGTGAAAACATCTCCGCGGCGTTGAACACAGGTAACATTAGGCACTCTATGGCTGTCCCTTGCACTGATCGTTTCTGCATGCTGATTGGATTGAGCAGTGTTAGGGAAAGCAATTAGTATGCAAAGTGCTAGGATGCAAATCGTGCTAACACACGCTAGGATAAGGATCTAACATGCAAGATGACCGATAAAGCAGTCTAGATGCTCGGATGTTGCTTACTCCGCATTTGTTGCTCACCACGTCAAATAGTTTAGCCACCGGGCTAAAGGTATGTGTGACGATTCTTTACCATATCTGACAGGGCTTCAGGAGAATGTATCAAAGGTACCTGTTCTAGTACTTAAAAGTTCTTGCAATTGGAAACGTCTTTTCTTGATACGCTCGTATATTATGATGTACGTTTAAAGGCCAGCTGTTGGATTTTATTGAGATAGTGGAACCTTTCCATTGTATTCACCTAGTAACACTGTGTCTAGTATTATGATGGTTTTATCCTTGTGCTGTAACTTAAATCATTTGTTTTTTATTCTGGTTGTGAAAAACGTAAACTTGAGTCGCTTTGTAAAATGGAATGATGAAGGAAATTAAGTGCAGGGCATTCCATGTGCAAAGTCCTGGAAGCCAGTCCAAAACGTGTTAAATACGGGATTAGCTCAACAGATGCACATGATCCCATACATTTTTAGGCGCAAGTGTATTTTACACTGCAACTATATACCCCCAAGGGAAATACAAATGAAAGCGAAAACTACTCAATTATTATCATTTTAAGGAGGAGCGAATAAGTCAGAATGTTTTTCATTTTAGTTTAAATACAATGACTGCTTCTCACGACTGCGAAATCTGTTTTTTGCTGCTGCTGACTGACTCGTGGAAGAGATGTTCTCAGGTGCTTGGATTGTGAGCTTTTCAGCTAATGATTCACACCTGTGAATCACAACAATGATAATGTTGATTATTTAGTCTTTGGATGGGCTAAGGTACCATTCACTTAAAAATAAAATGACTAGTGGTGTCATAACAATCTATTTACACTTTTCATTGAAACTGACAACAGTTTTTATAGATTTTCTGTGACGAGGAATAAACATTAGCTTCTATTTGCTTGATTTAATTATTTCACATGGCTTCCCACTTCAGAATTGACCATTCTGTCATAGTAAGTTCTGCCTCAGGCATTAGAAGTTCAGACTGCAGTGTTGACAAGTCCTATAAACCACTATTACTTATTTAAAATAGAGTTTTTAGAACCAATTTGCTCACGAGTCTCTTTACTTGTCTCCCGTAAGCCTTGGCATTTTGGATTTAAAAAACACTTAGCCCTGAAAAATAACCTTACATCTGAACTAGTTTTATTTTTCTTCACTAGAAAACCTAGCTCTTTCTAGTAAAATAGCAGTTTAAATATTACTACTCTGACAATGTTATTCTGAAGTTATTGAAGACGAGGTCAACTTTCCTAACATATGGTATTTCACTGTTGTCGTGAAGTGAATCAGTGACAACGTGTTTACTATGTTAAATTAAAATTGGGAGCCTATTAAAAACAGGCAAAAGGTGGAATGGCAGCTTGTCTTTCTTTTCTGAAACAACACCCGATGCTGTTAATAAAATTGCATTACTCTGAGTCTGTGCTTGTATCTGATGTCCTGAGCTGCTGACCTTATTAGAGCAATCATATGTTGCTTTCTTCCTATTATAGAAGCTCTTCTGTTTGAATGCAGGGCGTTTGGAGTGGATTCCCTCAGGTAACAGTGAAGCTCAGATTGTAAAGTGGTAACCTCAGGACTACACATGACTACAGACGGCGCTAACAGCATCAATGGTAATCCACTTTATTCAAGTTTTATGACCTATGAGTCAGAGCTGGTAAGGCTGAAATATTGTTGGTCTTCAACCTAAAAGTGGTCTTGTTTTCCTTCTGATGCATTTTGGTTTAAAAAGCAACACTTATTTCACCTTAGAGAATGTATATGCGGTAAGACCATGAGACCGTAAGGGAAAGTCCCTAGAGATAGAAAAGGTCACAATTTTGTTTCCTGAACTGTACTGAAAATCAAAAAACAGTTTTGGGTGGGTGGCTCATTCCATGTTGAAAGGAAAAGAAGAGAGAGACAAGTTTTTGGCTGTGGAGCAACAGAAACAAACCCATTCAATAAGTTTCTCTGTATTCTCTTGGGAATCATTTAAGATGCCACACAAAAAACTGACTAGAAATGAATTAGGAGTTAAGAGTTAGGGATAAGGGACAAGTAGAATGTCAGAGAATGTGTATTTCAGATTGTTGTTTTGTAAGAAAAAGGCTGAAGGCTAGAATGCAACCTGACTGAAGATCTTATTATTGCACAATTCCTGGTACACTTTGCTGCAATTATAGCATAATATGTCACATACGTCCTCCTGACACGTTTAAACTCCCTTTAAATAATGATCGTTTTAAAATATTTAGGAATCTTTAGCGTTAGCCATTATGATGCCTATAAAATTAGACTAATGCGTGGATTAAAGTACATCCATAAATTACAATCCAAGAACACTTGGTGTTCATCAGGTTATGGCTTTGTAGTTTGCAAATGATAAATTCATTCACTTTTTTTTCCTTAAACTGACCCGGGACCAATTCCCAAGATCAGAATTACAGATAGTTCAAACACCTATAATGCTACTCCTCAGTATTGTAATTATAATATGGAAAAGAAATTGGACTGTTTCAGTAGACTGTCCTCAGGATTTCTCCCTTTTCACTGCAGTGATAACTAATGAAATGTTGTTGATCAGGCTGTATACCTCCCTCCAATTTGTGAAACTATTTTAATTAACAAAACAGTTGTCAAACTGCATAAGATAATGGGGCATGTATGTACCTTAATACATAAGGTTATTTGTGCACAGAATAAATATTTAATCAAAGTGTTCAATTTCTGTTTTATATTTTAAATAGTACTTTCATGTTATCTTAGTTTCCATCTTAACTCTGTGATTATGCACACACCACCTGGATCTCTTTGGTGTTATGAATCTCTCTTTTGTGACTTGAATTGTGCTACCATGACTCATGGTACAATATGCTCCGAGAAACTGCACTGGGCTTGCCAGTATTTGGTTCTTCCGTTTACAAATGTTCCTAATGCGTGGGTGTTGCATAATAACAAGCTACACTGTAGTTCATGTCTTTGCATTGTAGAAAAGCCTGTTATTAGAAGCCCATTGTTTTAAAACCTCTTTCTTGACGTGTTAATAAATTACTAAAAATCCACTTTTTCTTCAGACTCCAAGGAAGAGTAATTTTTCTGTTCTCCTTTCCTTTTTATGTGGATTAATACACAGGAGGTCTTGTGCAATCCAGCAGTACATCTTATTTGTTCACGCAGGTAGTTGAGTCAGCATGGTTAGGCTGCAAAGGAACAGGTAAAAGTTTATTCCATGCTGAAAAGACACCCGAAGAAGGCCCCCCAGCTGAAACATTGTTTCTTTTCTTCTCTTTTCAGCATGGAATAAACCTTTACTTATTCCTTTGCGTCTTTTTTTTTTTACAGGCAAACGAATGTCTTGCTTATTTTCACCTTCAGCTAGTAGCAGTTTAACCTTGATGGGACACGATGCTTTTTCTTTCTTTCTTCCAGGAACCATGGCTTCAAGCAAGGCTGACACTCCCAATGAGGAGACTCCACTGTCTCCGAGTCATTCCCTCAGTCCTTCCGAGTCCCAGGACCAGTATGAGAGGATTGGAGGCAGAGCAGGGACGTCGTAAGCATGTTTCTGATTATTGTGATTTTACACGTGACTGGACTGGGGGATGCACAGAGTATTAAAGCAGACAATACAGCAGTTAAATAATAAAGCCACAACAGTAAAATAACTGTGCACAAATCGCGATAGGCCACTGGTTTACTGATGTTTCTTTTACTATTATTTCTGTCCTCTTTATTTCTATTCAAGATTTTAATGCACCTTGACATTTTTATTAGTTACTGGTAAAGAAACCGTCCGTCATAAAAATCGCCGGTTCTATGGGCTGTGATTTGGTTTACTTGTACATAGTCATTTTGAGAAGGGAGTTGGGGTGAATAACGGTTTCTTGCTTACCAGGTTAACCATAGGAAAGCTTTTACTATATATACAGTGCATTGGCAATTCCCATACCATAGATTCATTTTAAAAGGTGACAGAATATATTTAGGAAAATTAGCAAAACTCAAAATCCTCAATCCATTTATTTTCTCACCGCTTTGTCCAATATATATGGGGGAGCCCGAGCCTATCCCAGCAAGCGAGGCAGGATACACCCTGGACCGGACTCCAGTCCATCACAGGGCACACAGTCACAGACATTTGCACAATCACATTGGGGCTGGTTTTCAGTGAAGCCAGTATCTGTCAGTATTTGTTTGGTCTGTGGGGGGAAACCCAAGTGAACACAGGTTGAGCACCCCAGGAATTGAACCCAGGCCCTATGTGCTATGAGTCAGCGATGCTAACACAACTGTGCTGGCCAACCCAAAACACATGTAAGCAAATAGTCTTTTTTTCTCCCAGGCAATGCAGCAATGTTTTCCCCTAATTATATATTTGTGTTATTTTGTAGCACTGAATATTTAATAGCAATACAACTTCTAAAAAAGTAAATGTCCATTTCCTGGTTTGTTTTTATACCGTTATAAGTTCCCCAAAATGACTTGGCATTTGAATTATTTCTGATGGTCTGTATATGTTGACAATCATCATATAAAAAAAAGAAAACTTCTATGCATTGGAAAAAAATAACTTGATTATAGGTTAAGATGTATCAGATTCATCATGACACACATGCTGTATGATGCCATTTTGATATAAAATGAAAAAAGTATTTTTCTATGATTACATTTTTAAAATAATCATTAAACAAAATGCAGCCCCCATGATCAAACCAGATGGTGAGCAATGAATGTTCTTGAAAATTGTGTAATTATGCTGGTTTAAATAATATGAATATTGGAATTGCCTCCAATATATAATTTAAAGCAATCACATTGTGCAAACATTTTGTACTTATTAACTGGTGAGGCTTAACCAGGGTCTGATATCTGTGTCTTGCTTTTATATATAATTGTTTAGTTATGACAGTTATGATTAAACTGAACAAATTTTCACTTTTATTTGGAAAGTAATTGCTTTGCACTCAGAATTGAAGAATATTTTTAGAGATCCTCTGTTTACTTTTATTTAACGCTCCAAGATCAAATTTGATAAGGTGTGTCTAGCAAAATTATCTTGGTCTCAATTCAAATCAAATTTGACGGTTTGGTTCCTGACTTCAGGATGGCAGATTTCAAGAATTACATTTTCCCTCTTCTGTTAATAAAGAAATTAATCTTGTAATCTAATAGATGGGACAATCAAATCGAAGCTCAAAATGACAGGAGAGTGAACATTTTTTCTCATTGTTTTCTGCATTTTCATAATGGTGCATGGTTCGTGTTCGAGGTATTATAAGGTAAATGGCTATCTGGGTGATTTCAGTAGAAAGACTCTTTTTATTGTCGACAAGTACAGCAATCATCCGTGTCTGCATGAATTAATTTTTTGTTAAAAAGCAAGTGGCTGGAATATAAGGTAGTTAAAAAAAAGAATGTAGGTTTCCTGCAACTTGTTTGTGCTCTGCTTCTTTCCTGTCCCGTTATACATGAAATGTATATAAGGCTTGTAAACAAAGAAGTAAAGGCAAGTTCAAAAGATTAAACAAAAAATGATTTATTGATGGATTATTTTCTTTCCTGCAAAATGAAATCAATAGTGGCAGGAATGTTAAAACAGCAACCTTGGAAGTTCTGTCATATTGTGGAAGATGTGAAGGGAATCATAAGCATGAACATTTGGGATTTGTTTTTGGGTATCCCTCTTAAATTCCCAAATCCTGGATATAAGGTCCAATGGCTTTTAGCACTCTGATGTCAGAGGTGACTCTCTTTGCAGGTTCTTCGATACTCTGATCCACTTGCTGAAAGGCAATATTGGGACGGGGCTGCTGGGCCTCCCTCTGGCTGTGAGGAATGCAGGGCTTGTGGTAAGAACACTTGGAAACTGTGTAATACAACATTTAGGTTGCTGGTTTTGGGTGTGGTTTAGTCTAGCTTGCTAGTTTCCTGGTGAGTGATATACAGTATACGGTCACTATCATGTAAATTCAGTGTGACCCACTTGCCTCTGGTGTCGTGTAATTTTTTTGTGATCTCAACTGGGTACGAGTGATTCAGGTGATGAAAGACACAGGCTAATAACCCAGTGTACTCTGTTGTCATGCATTTCATTTATGTTGTTCTTTATTTCTACACAAAGGTCTAAGACAAGCTTGAGGGCTTTGATATTGTTGACAGCTAGTACAATATTTTTGGCTGGAGAGACTGAGAGATGTGCATATTAAATTCTTTTTTGCAAGTGTTTTATTTCTTAATATTAACTGAATACATCTCTCCAGAAAATATTTAATGCCAACAGCTTTATATATGCTTTATATGAGACAGAATAGCTTTAAAGTCCAAATTAATTACACGGTTCATTTAGAAGGTCTTCTGAAAGCTTTTTCTTGTGAATTGTTATTTTATTTCTTTTAGGTTCAAAATAGCTCTACAGTACTGTGAAAGTTTTTCTGTCACACCAGTCACTTTAAAGTATCTATAATCTATCTATAATAATAACATAAATGATCTGTCAGTAATGATATGTCCTTAGTGTTTGAGCTTTATTTTATGAAAAGAGGATTTATCATGTTCAAAGGAAATTCTACCAGACTAGACTTTACTTTAAATTTAATGAAAGAACAACTGACAGGTGATTAAAAGAACGTTTTGGCGGTTAGTCAGGGTTTTGAAGCTTATCATTGAATATCAAGTACTGGGCTATTTGGCCCGATCAACAATCAGAATATTCCATTAATATACTTCCAATTTCCTAAAATGTCAAAAAATGCCCCCTAACAAACTTGGATACCCACTTAAGAGAGAAATAAGCATAGATTGAAAACGAGCCCTTTTCTAACATCTGTCCTTTTCTTGTGTTAGTTGGGACCTCTAAGTCTTCTGGTGATGGGAATAGTAGCTGTTCACTGTATGGATCTTCTGGTTAAGTGTTCCCATCATCTCAGTGCCAGGTGAGTGTGACATGTATTAAATAATACAAACATAAAATCACTCCACTTATTGCCACCCATCGTTCTGTTTTTACTGTGGGCACTCGTCTTCGCTTTGGGAACGTTGGACTCGGCATTGTAGCAGTGCTAGTCCGCACACGGGTCGGGTTATTGAGGAAGGAGGTCCTACGCCTGCAGATTATCATGGTTAATCAATCTTTCAGCATTCCTTTGGGAGGTGGGAGATAACCAGTGCTCCTGGGGATGTGGGGAGAACATACAGTTTCCACACAAAAAGCCCCCCCGCTCCGAGATTAAACCAAATACCCTTGAACTGTGAGGCAGCAGCACTCCTGTGCCACTGTTAAGATCACTTTATTGGCCATATACAATTTCCTGCATTAGGAATTTGTCTTTGCAGAACCCAGCTTGCTCTCCATGAGACACACAGACAGGGAGAGAAGCTTGGGGTCAGAGCGCAGGGTCAGCCATTTATACGGCACCCCTGGAGCAGTTGGGGTTAAGGGCCTTGCTCAGGGGCCCAACAGAGTAGGATTCTTCCGTTGGCCGCGGGATACGAACCGGCAACCTTCCATCTATCGGCGCAGATCTTTAGCCACAGAGCCACTGCTGCGCCACTGTTGTCCTTACAGTAGGTCACACATTGCAGGAGTCATTGTTTTTTTTATATTTGCCTAGAAGTTTATATGGGCGGTTTAACTTTTTGTTTTAAGTGTTCGGGTCTGCGCTTGATTTTAGGCTGGGGCTACCCTTTCTGGATTATGGGGAAGCTGTGGAACATGGTTTGGCTACTGGACCTGGTTCCTGGTTGCAGAGACATTCAGTATGGGGAAGGTAAGACTGGTGAAACTGGTGAACAGGGAAATGGAAGTGAAAGTCGTAATTGCTTATTCAGCACATTTAGATGAGTTAAGTACAAATCGTATACACTACTATACTTTTGCCATGAATAACTAATAGCAGATGATATTTGTGTGTGTTTTTCTGGATAAAAGGTTATTCCTTTAAAATAGTACGGTCTATAGCTTACTTTAAAGAAATTATCTATGATAACAAAGCTAATAGGAGCCTGCTTTTAAATATAGTTTTATTCTCAGAACAAATGCATGATATTGAAGTAGTGATATTGCAGCAGTAAACAGTGATACTATAATCAGTCGTACAGTAGACCTGCAGTGAGGTAATGTTTTATTGAAATGGCTCTTGGAGAGCTCGGCAAAAAAATTATACCTTGGAACTGAACTCCATATGTTGCTATTTGTTATGAAAGTGTACTGGATTTCATAACTACTTCCATGAACAATACAGTATGTGGGTAAACTGAATGCCAAATAAGGTCCAGTCTTTCTTGTGTAGGATAAAAGAAAAATATCCACAGTTAAAATGTAATTATTACATTATTCTAATCATTTAAACCTTGAGTGTAACATTAAAATGTTGTTTTTATATATCTATGCAAATATGGGTTTAGTCAGTACATTGTGCCAGAAACACAAGGGATAAAAAAATGTAACTGAATTTCCATTGGCTTTCTGCAAACCTGCCTGTCTGGCCTAGTGGGTCCTGGCCTGTTCCTGTATTGCTGAAGCATTCACCTTGCAAAAGGGTTGATAAAATAATGTAAACTGTTGCACAAATCTCAAAATGCATCGAGGAACCTTTGTAGCTTTGTACTTTGGGTGTGTGTTCACTTAAGAGTCAATAATGTACATTTTGATTTGTGAAATGTAGGTTAATAATTAGACATGGGATCTTGTTACCAGTAGTAATTGAATTGATATGTCTTTAGGATGCTTTGCCTTATAAATTCTGACAATGTCTTGTCTTTTCACTTGGTTTCAGGCGATTGGTTAATTTATTTTTGATTGTCACCCAGTTGGGATTTTGCTGTGTTTATTTTGTGTTCCTCAGTGACAACGTCAAACAGGTAAAATGTACTTTTCTTTCTCTCTGTGTGTTTATGCAACATTTTTGCTTTATTTCTGTTTGAAAATATTTCTTTTATTTTGGAAATGTACTTTGGTATATAGTCTAGTTAATTTAACAGTTAAATTGTCATTAGGTTTAAGAAAATTAGGGAAACTATCTACAGTACTCATGAATCTAATGGTGAAGTATATTCTTATTTTTCACGGTAAAGGCATTTTGTGCAACATAGGAGCAGGAGGGGAGATGACATGCACAGAGCGTGCTGTAACCATTCGTTATTCAAACCACAAGAGGGCACTGTTATCAAATAAAGACGTTTTGCTCCGTAATACGCTCTTGTAGCTGAACATCGCCACGTGCTGTTCCTTCTTTTTATTGCTGCATCATCTCTTGACACTATGTTGTAAACAGCTCAGTTCAGTTTAGGGATGGCACATGAACTGACACATGTTTTCTAACACACCCTGCGTCAATCAAATGATTGTTAAAAAAAACAAATTGTAGAAATTTGGAAAATGTGTCAAACGTGTAATATCTCTTATCCAGGTGATAGAAGCAGCCAATGGAACAACGAACGACTGCCATACCAATCTGACAGCTGTGATTGTCCCAACTTTTGACTCACGACTCTATATGCTGTGCTTTTTGCCGGCTATTATTTTGCTGGTGTTCATCCGCAACCTGAAGTGGCTGGCACCACTCTCTTTAATGGCAAACCTTTCGATGTGCAGCAGCCTTGTCTTGGTTTATTGGTATTCGATAACAGTAAGTATCATCATTAACAGAGTACAAACATTTAGCCTGGCTGTGAAATGAAGACCTAACTTCCTCCATTTGACGACAGAATGCTGTTTGTTTTGAGCCCACTGCTGTCAGAGTGGAGTGCAGTTTTTGCAGTTTTTGCAAAAATCTGCAAGTTTCAATTCTGTTAGGTACAAGCAGAAGCGAACACTTTGCTGAGTTTACTTTGCCTGAGGAAGTTGAACCTAAAATTCACCTCAAAATCAGATGTTTATGAAAGGAACCTAAATGCTGAACTGTCTTTTCTTTCAGTGGTATCCTCAGTTTCTGCAAATTGCTTAGACTGAGTTCTAGAGGATGACAGATGAGGAAAAAAACATCTGAGGTCAGGCTTCGTAGTGTGTAGCTATAGGGTTACAATTTTAGTCCAGGGGGGACTGACCATATATGTTACTCATCTTAAAGGAAAGTCCAGCACTGGCAGGTTATAAGAACTGAATGTTTTAACTTTTGGTCAGAGAATCTTAGAAAGTGATATCTGGTGTCTGGTATACAGGATTCAAACTCTTCAATCGACCAAATGGACTTTAGAATAAACACAGACACATAAACTGGAGGCTACAAATCAAAGTTATGGGGAAGTGAGAACAGTTTCTTTACACAAAGGGTCATGGGAATCTGACATAAGCTACCCAGTCATATTATTAGGTTTCTTTTAAGAAAAACTAGAATGAGATGTTTGGATCAATTCATTACTTGTGCCCCTTTAATTTATACATTTTCTCATGCTGTAAGTGTATAAATGCAATAGTTTTATTATTCACTTTATCACTTTATTAGCCATATAAAATTTCTTGCATTAGGAACTTGTTTTTTCACATACCCCAGCTTGCTTTCCATGAAACACAGATGCATAGACGGGGAGAGAAGCTTGGGGTCAGAGCGCAGGGTCAGCCATTGTACAGTGCCCCTGGAGCAGTTGGGGTTAAGGGCCTTGCTCAGGAGCCCAACGGAGTAGGATTCCTCTGCTGGCCGCGGGATACGAACCGGCAACCTTCCTGCCACAGGCGCAGATCCTCAGCCACAGAGCCACCGCTGTGCCCTAAACAAAACAAGCATACAGGATCAACATCAAATACTATTGCTAAGTTTCTTGGTGTGTTTAATGTGCTTGTCAGTACTGCTTAAACATTGCTAAAGTATCATTGTATATTTATACCAACTTTCTGTCATGCCTTTTGCATGTTTTGTTAGTGCGTTAGATCAGGGAATGGACACCCAGAGCTAAAAGAGGGTAATTTGCATTACTGTAGATCTTTGAAAGCCACTAAATATAAAATGATGTCTTGAATTTCTTTCACAAAAGGATTCTTCAGAGGTGTTTGACTTCCTGGGGGTACTTGAATTGTGCGCTGCTGAGAAACCTTTAAAAACTTTAGTTCAGCTGTTAAATAATTCAAGCCCTGCTAATGCTGCTCACTTGATCCTGAGTTATATAATTGGATAACATTTCTAGAATTTATTGTTTCATTACTCATACATTTAGCACAACACTCCAGGAAAGAAAAAGTTTATGTATAGTTTTTATAAATAAGGCTTTCCCCAGTCTTGGCATTGTAGCTGTTTTGCTGCCTTGAAAACTAAACGTGCTTCTCTTCCGAGAACTTGCAAGACTGGGCCTTCTGGCACATGCTAAAGATGAAAACCATCAAAGGAGAATTGGGTTGCAGCTGGGAGACTGTAGTAGGTGGAAGGGGAGGAACCCTTTCCCTAGAGTTCCCTTTAAGAGAGGTTATAGTCTCGATGGGGATTCCAAGTCAGATAAAAGAGAAGCGGAAAGCTTGTGAAGTTGTGGAGAACTTATACATGTGTGACAAAAGGCTAATCAATCTCCTAAATACTTTTATCTTTCAGAACATCTCCTATCCAGTTTCATTGCCCTATGTAGGAAAAGCAAAGGATTACCCTCTCTTTTTTGGTACTGCAATATTTGCTTTTGAGGGTATTGGTGTGGTAAGTTCCTAACAAAATACTTGTATTAAAATACCGTTTTCAAATTAATACAGCACTTGCACTGCACTCTAAGTATGTTTTCAACATTTGCTTCAGTTTGGAAGAACACCTTAACACCTGTCATGTGTTCCTGATGTGCACTAAGGGTCAAGATGTCACATGACATTATCTCTACTTTGTGAAAGTGATTGATGAAGTTTATGTATATTTGTTTCTGGATTTATCCCCCTGCATATATCATTTACAGTGGTGCAACTGGCCAACATTAATTAATGCCAGATCTGTGAATGAGGTTAAAAGTGTTGATGTGCTTTTTTTTCCCCAGGTTCTCCCACTAGAAAACAAAATGCAGAAACCGGCATCGTTCAGAAGAGTTCTCTACTTGGGAATGGTCATTGTTACGTTCCTGTACATCAGTCTAGGCACTATAGGATATATGTGTTTTGGGGATCACATTGGAGGGAGCATCACTCTGAATCTGCCTGACTGTTGGTAAGTCATTTCTGAAATTTCTGAAAATTATACATGTGAAATATGAGGAAACTCTAATTTTCAGTTATCCATCAAACAGCATTTTAAGTTTAATGACTTACACATTTACCCCTCTTATTAAGACTTAAATAAATCCTTTGGAATTCAGATGTTAAACCTTTCCATCATGCAAAAGGACCTGCACTAAGCATTTTGTGCACTTCACTGAGTAATTTATTTCAAAAGCTGAATTACGCACAGACACCGACATAATGCTTTGCTGGCCATTGTGCATAGATTCTTTTAGACAGCGAACTTGTCTGAGTTTTGTGAAGTGAAGATTATAGAGCATGAGATTCTGAAATGAATGTAGAAAAGTGATGCCTGTGTTTCTATGGCTTATGCTGTTTTAAAGTGTAGTAATCGTTGCATCATAAGTAGGTGTGGTTGTCTTTTCAATTTAAAATGTGAATATAAATGTTTTCTAATTCAGTTCAGATCCGTTAGATTTTTATTTATTTTCCAAGAAATTTACTATTTTATATTTGAGGTTGTGGGAGCCATTGCATTTTTGCTTTAAATTGAAAGTCTTGCTGTTTAGATTATGTAACTACAGAGACAGCCAGATCAGAAACTAGAGATTTTGATTAGCCATGGCATAATTGTGTCAGTTTCAAATTCTGCCAGTGGCAGAATCCTTCTAAACTCTTCCAAGCTGGAATTTGTCTACAGGTTCCTGAAATGAAGAATTATAGCCTTGGGATTTCTTTTACCTCTTCTGTAGTTTTTTAGAAATGCAATAGTTTGCTGAATATGCAGAAGCCGAAGAATCCATTAACCCTCTTGATTATTGGATCTCAGCAGTGAAACAACATATTGACATCTTGGAAACACTGTTAGAAAATAATGATTGTAGAGTGCATTTTCCCCATGTCCTATGTAATATGGTATATAAAATAAATATATACATGTTATGCAGTACCTATATATTTAATGTAATACAGTATATGGGAATAATATGCACTGCTCCAATAATAAGCTGCTTTTATTTACAGTAGTAATTAAAAAGGGAAGACGAACCTCTATGTAGTTATTTTGAATATCATGCTGGCAAAGACTTGGATGTTCTTTGATTTTTGCTTTCTACATATTTTAATTTATTGACAAACTGACAGTTCCCATACCCATTTGTCTCAGCTTCCATACCCATTCTTACATTCTTTCCTTTGTCCTCCTAACCCTCAGATAATTCTTTAAAATCAGCGTGCTTTTTTTTGCCCTCTGAAAATTAGATTATGGGACTTCTCAATCAATAGGGCGGTCGGTTCTACAAACAGTTAAAGACTGTATTTGTCAATTGTGATAGAGAAAACCGTGAACATGAAGGCGATCCTATGCCTCTTCACTTATTCAGCTTTGAACCCTTTGTGCTTTTGTCTTGATAACATGGTTATGCTTTGAATTGTTGGAGCGCTTGAAGCCTGCCACTGAATGTAACCAAACAGCTGACATCTGTGGCTGGTCCTTCTTTCCACTGCATCCCATGGCTGAGTGGACATTTAACTAATTCCTTCTGCTATCCTCCATTTAAAGTCGTCTCAAGGGAGCTCTTCATAAAGAGAGGCACATGATTTGAAATTCCTTATGTATTGTCAGGAGATAACCAGCTGGCAGTGTGGAGAATGAGTAGAGGTTGATGTTAGATATTTGTTTTGCTTTAATCGAACAGTCAGAGCATACTCTTTACTTGGATGTTGAGGGGAATCGATGAGAATTCCTCAACCTCTTTTGAGGGTCGTCTCTTAAAATTGTTAGGAAGGCATTCTGATGATCATAATATCATAATCATAATAAGGACAATCGTGTAGACATTTTGAATTAATGAAGTTATTCACATACTGTGCCTTATTGTCATCCGAGTATGTCACTGCATGTGGTTATCTTTAGTGAAAAATCCCATGTAAAGACCTCTCTTATTTCCTTATCTGAGGATGTTGAACAACTCCTGCTCCTTAAATGCATGTAATACTGTAAGTTTATGCAGGAATTTATGAAACTTCATAATGCTGACACAACAAGCCTTCCTTTTAGTTACATCATTACTTTTATGTAGGAGCTGCAGTCTAGCTTATAAAATGGAGGTGGAAGAGCATTTTCCTTCACTTCTGTTTTTACCATCATTAGTTTTATCCTTTTACTGGTGAAGATATGAGAGTCTATCATAAGTTCTATATTATGTAAATTATTACACATGTAAGATATATATAAACCCACCCAAACTGCAAACAAAGCAAATACATTCTGAGTTTTTAAAATGTTTTTGTATATCATACATTTTTTAGACTTCTCAATGGATATTGAGACTAGGGAGGATTTCCAACCAATCTCGGAGATATATTGTTCCCTGTTTCAAAGATGGTGAGAAATGGAACCAGTAGGTACTGGTAAATTTGGATATGAAAACATTGATGGTGTTTGATGGTGTTTGAGTCTGTGGAACAAAGAGGAATTGTGTACTTATCAGCTGTGCCAGATTCTGGCAAACATTTACAGAGCCAAGGGAATGCTATAAAACCAGGAGTCTTCTAGGTCTTGCCACAAGGTGATCTGTGTTCCTTGGCCCTGCATGTACTGTACCTTTGAGCTATATGGAGGAGAAGGCAACCAAAGAATCATATTGCATGCCCTAAAGTGTGCTTTTTTTTTAATGCCCTGGAGGATTTTCACTACTTGAATTGGGACATCTCTGTCTTTTAAAAACTGCAAGGTTCTGTTCTTTTAGCCAGTCAGATTAGAACAGTCCTTCAGCCTGGGAATGTACTGGATCTGATCTCTCTTCTCTGGACTTGTATCCAGTGCAGGAAAAGGTTTATTTATGGTGTCTAATGTATTGTGCGATATTAACATATTCTGATTTAAAATGTTATACCTTCATCGGGTTTTGTCTTTTTATTGCTTCTCCATAGTATATATAAGATGACAATGATGAGTCAACAATAAAGGTTTATTATCCTTGTGCTAAGAAAAGGCTGTCTTATTGAACTCTGTAAAGTTTCATCCTCTTATTTTCCTAGGATGTATCAGATTGTAAAGCTCCTCTACTGTTTCGGGATATTCATCACGTACGCCCTGCAATTTTACGTCCCGGCAGAAATCTTGATTCCCCAGGTGGTAGCCAGGTTCCCGGAGAGGTGGGTCCTGGTCATCGATTTCTCCATTCGCACTCTCCTGGTCATGCTGACATGTGAGTAAAGAAACCTACGTATAGACGGGTAAAGGCTCGTTCCATGCTGAAGAGTAAAGAAAAGAAACATGACGTTTCGGCTGTGGAGCTTTCTTCAGGTGCGAGGGAGAGGCGAAAGTTGTAAAGAAATAAAGTTATAGGAAAGAAAAAGTCAGAGTAGACAGCTGAAGCTGAAGGTAATGATTCTTTTCTGCGCCTTTCAGCATGGAATAAACCTTTGCCTGTTCCTTTGCAGCCTTCACATGCTAACACAACTCCCTGTGTGAACCTTTTCATGCTATACAGTACATAGAGACACAAATGGTGGATGAGCAGTTATCGTTCTCTCTTCTGTGACCTCCTTTAATGCACACAGTTATTTTTATATGGTCTTAGCTCTCCAGTGTTTTATAGGGATATCCAGATAGTCCAGAAACATACTGAGTAGAGTAAAATAGTTTGCAAAGGGATTTGGTCACATTTGTAAATGGACCCTACTACTTTATAAACATATCTGAAGGGGATATTAATCTGTGCAGTCTTTTTTCCTCAATGTTGCACTTGCTTAAGTATCCCCAGCTATTGTTAGGGAGTATAATTGGAAAGAATTTGCTTTGATCCACTCTTCAAACGCCACTGTGTTAAACTGCTGCTTTTCAAAGTGCTGTTGACATGCCAAGCTGAATGGTGTTCTGGCATTTTTAGATTAAGACACTCCTACCCTGTGGTATTTATCACTTATTATTTAAAAAATAGGATTTAAAGTCACAGCAACAATGTTGTGATAATAAAAGAGAAGAGGCGAAAATAGAAACACAGGAATGAGAAAAAAATCTGATGTGCAGTTGACAAATGACCTCCAGTCTGAGTGTACTGCATGGAAAGAATGCAGTATCTTAACCTTTTTACAAGGCTTACCCTTGCTGCAGAAGTGAAGCTCATTTTAGTTTGGGCTTTGAGGAACAGTCACAGCCTATGATGCCCAGTATGCTGTATGCATAATGGAGACACATGGGACAGGATGTGTACTTTATGAGTACCAGACTCGTGCAGCTTTCAGCATTTTGTTTTTTCAGTTGGCTGCCTTGTACGTGCGTCTTTGCTTTAAATGTCAAACACCTATACTGGAGGTCAATGTGTAATACAAGATATGCCGAGTGTTTAGAATGAAACTTTCTCATCATTCATTTACTTAATCCATAAGGGGATCTGAACATGCATCTTCCCTTGTTTTGCCCTTTTCTACTGCCTTTTCCTTTTAATGGTTCTTAAGAGGATTGTTTTTATTCGTATCAAGTCTGGCACATTCTTCTGGCAGTGAAATTTTACACGGGCTCATACATTTCCTTTTTCGTCGGAGCAGTTTTTTTTTTTGATTGGCTATGAGGTTGAATCAGTTAAATGTACTCTGGGTTTTTATGGAGTCACTAGAGGTTAGATGAAAATCAACCGATGTGATTCCTTATCCAATCTAGCTAGATCTGTATACATTTAAGTGTAAACATGCTATTTCTTGAGTAATTGATAGTGAATATGTCCATTAACAGCCACGCATTTGCACCACTCAGCAGGTATCATTATAATAGCCTTCATGAAATTTGAATTTAAAAGTGCTCTGCTGCCACTGGGGCTTTCAATGCAAGTGGAAGTTTTGATGGGGAATTAAGTAGGCTTTTTTCACCCTCTCCGCTGGGTTCCACTGCTGTGAAACACTGAGTCAGTGCCTTTTCAGAGCAATGTCAGAATTTTTCCTTTCTTATTAATCACTTCATTATAAGTGAGAACTAAAACTGGCAAGTGTGCCTGAATGTTAATGAAATGACATTTTTACAAGTTTAGCTGTTTCATAATCCAAGATCAGTTGCAAAACTTGTCCATAGACCGTTACAAACATAAACCAGGGGACACAAGAAGAAACTATGAAAGCGCTTTTAAAACTTGAGAAGAGAAATTCTCCATTATCTGGGGGGTTGTAGAAAAAGCCATTCAACAGTAAGAATATGGTTGAAGTCGATACTTTGGCTTCCTTAAATAAATGGCTGAATGAGATTCTTGGATCAATGAAGTATTATCTACCAAATAGGATAGATGGGTCGAATGGCTCAAAATTATTAACCCTGACTCTCCGATAAGAAACAAATGTGCACAATTAATTACAACATAGTCATGACTTATTACACGTACACAGTTCGTGACAGCATTATAGTTGATGCCTATATCGTGCTATAAGTGTCTTTTTTTCATTTTAGTGCGTGTGATTTGTTCTCAATTCACTATATTCATTAAAGGAACTGTAATACTAGAAAGTCAGGGCAATTCAGATGGCCACCTTAACTCAACGTCTGACCAAGTTAGTTTTCTGAGAGTTCAGCCTCCAAAAACCATCAGTTACACTCCAAATTAATTGTCAGCACAATGTTTTGCAAAGAACAAGTTTAGTCTCACATGGGTCCAAGTATAAAAACATTGACACAGTACAAAAAACTTCACTTCAAAAGCAAATATCAGCCATAATAAACCCACTCATGGATACATCTTGCCACCAAAACATGAAAACCGAAACAGCGGCTAGAGCTTAGCAGGATTTTTACAGAGCTTAGTGAGTCATACTTCTGATCATTCAATAGGGTAGCCTTGCTGAATCCATTTGTCTATAAAAAAACGGAAAAAAACCCAAAAAACAACCGGGGGGGGTCAAGGGTTCCCAAAGCCAAGGGTTTGGAACCGCCCAAAACCGGCCAAGGTTTTTTTTCTTCTGGCTGTTGCAGCGCTTATAACATTCGAGTGGTTTGCTGTATAAAATAATTTATTTCCAATGCTTCTGTAATGCACTATAAAGAATTAGTGTTCAAAGG